CTGGATTCAATGGCAATGTCCTGCATGAGTCCAGGTGAAGACCTAGAGCCCATGACAGGCCTACCACGAGTCCAGCTGGAGGCCTAAAGCCCAGGACAGTGACTTATGCAAGTCTGTTTCACAGATCTATGCTGGGAACACACAAAAGTCAGTGGTGGAAGCTAGAAAGTCTATGCCCCTCTTAAGGATCTGTGCCAGTAGATTGTGGGTTCTGCACTGGAGCCAAGAAATGACCCTCAAAATAAGGACCGGGGCTCCCCCGAAAAGTATCACAGCTATCCTCAGCGACAACAAGATTTAGAGCTCCTCTGATGACAAGAACAGCCAAATTCATATCAAGAAGCCAGCATGACAAGCTTCTGCTGGAAATTGAACAACACCCATCTTCCCCTCTGGAACCAGGAAGTGATGCTCAAAGTAAGGACCAGAGCTCCCCTAACGTGAACCATAGACACTCTCAGCGACAACAAGCTCCTGAACTCCTGCCATGATAACAGCCAAGTTCATATTAGGGAAGCCAGTATGATAAACTCTAGGAAAATCAACAACTCCAAATGACAACACCACTCTTACTTTCCAGGTCTTTTTCTTATGCTGGAAACAATTTTCAGCTGGGCCAACTACACTCAGCACAATGCTGATTAGTTCAGCTGGTGTGTACATTGACCATCAGTTTTTAATCCACTACAATACTTTTCAGATTTTAAGGTCTTATGAATGAATAAGATATAACATTGCTGTTGGCTTAGTTACTTTTCTCTTGTTGCTGAGACAAAATACTTAATACCCAAAGTTAAAGCAGGAAAGATTTAGGTCTCAGTTTATAGTTTCAGTCAGTAATTGGCCAGTTCCAAAGCAATGTGGCTTGGCAGAGAGGGATCACAGAGTGGAACCAGTTCATGCCAAACAGAAGACAGCAGGGGTTGGGGATTTAGCTCAGTGGCATAAGTGCCTGCCGGGCAAGCGTGCAGTCGTGAGTTTGATCTCTGGTACCAAAAACAAACAAACAGAAGACAGCAGAAGCAAGCAAGCAAGGGCAAAGACAAGCCTCTTCTGCTGCTTATATTGTATCCAGGCTATGGGGATCAGTGCCAAACCAATCAGTGTACTGATTTAGCATCACACACTCTAGATTCAGCCACCGCTCAAAAAGTCCCACCTATGACTGCCTGAGACCTTAGGAGGACACCTAGACACAAGCCAGCAGACACCTGCTGTTATGTTTGCTTACCAGTCAGGGCTTTACCTGAATGATTGTGGTGACATTTTATGTGGTCCTCTAGCTTGGTTATTCTCTATTCCTATAATAACTTCAACCTTACCACGCAGAAAAAATCTTTCTACAACAGATCTGTCATATCCCAGTTCTTAAGTATAAGAAGAACTATGTGAAATATAACCTGTCCCTGACCACGGCATGACCTTGGTCATGTCTTTCCCAGTTTCCTCCTTGCTACTTTCTTCCTTCAACTGTTTCGGACCTCACTAAACTGTATACCTTAAACTTACTGTGCTTACTGTGAATCTGAAGTTTGTATAAACCCCATCAGTCCTAGTTTCTCATTTACTTTCCTTTTGGAGAATTCCTGCTATTTTATTTTATTTTAGTTATTTTTCTCTCTCATTTTTTTTTTTTGTTTGGCTTATTTTTTGAGACAGTTGCTATATCATCCAAGCTGGTGTTGAATTTGCCATTCTCATGCCTCTAAGGTACTGGATTATAGTATGTGCCACCGTGCCCTACCTTCATTTGTTTGTTTGTTTTTTAATTGATGAAAATTCTGGCCAGGGATTTAGCTCAGCAGCATAAGTGCCTGGTCATGAGTTCGATTCTTGGTACAAAAAAAAAAAAAAAAAAAAAAAGAAGCAATTGATGAAAATTCTCCATTTTTAGCAGTTATAACATGTTGTTTTCAAATATGTATACCTTATGAAAACACTAAATCAAGCTAATAAAGATAGGTATTCCCATACTTCATATTCACACACATGTGTGTGGTAAGAGCACTCAAAGTCTTCTCTCTCAGAAATCATTTCATATAATATATCGCCATTAATTGTAGTCAGCAGATTGTAAGACGGTCTCTTGGCCTTACACTAACTGAACTTTTATATTCTCTGTCCAGTAATTCTCACCACCTATAAGCCCCTGCAGAGCACACTTGTACGGTCTTCTTTTAGTTTCCACATTTGAGTGAGAGCATGAAGTCTTTGTCTTTCTGTCCCTCCTTATTTAACATGCTCTCCTTCAAGTTTTATTTATGTCGTTGCAGATAACAAGATATCCTTCTTTTTTAAAACTGGATATACTATGTTTTATATATATATATAATGACTTTCTTTATTCATCCATTGTTGAAAACTTAGACCAATTCTGTATCTTAGTTGTCATGAATAGTGCTACAATGAACAGGGGTGGAGTACAGATATCTTTTCAACGTACAATGTCATTTTCTTTGACTTTATATTCAGGAGCAGGATTACAGGATCATAGTGGGAGTCCTACTTTTAATTGTTTGAGAATCTTCTGTAAAATGTTTCTTAATGACTGTATCCTGTTCATTTTTAATACCCAGCTTTTATGTTTATTCATTAGTTGGTCTTTCCTCTTATTCCATGATACTTTGTATTCCCTTCCCGACCCCCAAGACTTTCACACTGGGCGACATACCAGCTCTTATTACTTTTTGAGGCAGTGTCCTGAATAATAGCCCATGCTGGTCTACTCCTGCCTCAGCCTTCAGAGTAGCTGGCGTATAGTCATGTGCCACTAAGCCCAGCTGGCACTTTGTACATTTTGTACTATGAATTTGTCATAATGAATTATTGCTACTTATTTCATAATTTGGCCTTCTTTTAGTCTCCTGGAAGGTGGTTCTTTGTTATTTAGCAGTGTTCATGATAATAATCCATAGTTGGGCAGATGGTTGGCTTACAGAATGGCAGTGTCAGACCCAGGATTCAACACTAAATTCTTTTCATTTTGAGGTGCTGGGGATCAAATTCTAGGCCCCATGCATGGTAGATAAGCACACTCATACCTGATATATATTCCCAGCTCCCCAAAACTCAATTCATTGTTGAATCCCTATTAGGATAGTAAAGAAAATAATCTATTTTATTTCATTCTGTATTGTTTCTCTTTTTTTGCCTTTACTAAGTTATACATGCACATATTAAAGGATAGGAAAAACAGATGACCCCCAAAAAGTCAACTAATATTTCTCACCCATTGAACTGTTTTATGCACATTATTTACTCTAGAGCTTCTCTATAACATATGGGATGTCCTTCTAAAACATACTATTGTCTTTCTTTTAGTACTTAGAAATATACTACAGGTTCAGGAAGGGAACAGAAGGGGAAGTAAAAATAATTAAGATGTGTTATGTACCTATACTGACTACCTATGGTGAATGTACTTACTATGTGCCAAGATTATTTTAGAAATTTGTAAGAAATGTATTACAGATTGAGCATTCCTAGTCTGACAATCTGAAATTCAAACGAGAGAGTTCTTGGATTTTTACATTGGTGAATGCTCAAACAGCATAATCCATGCAAATATTCTAAAATTAAAAAAACTTGAAATCTGAAATACTTCTGGTATTAAGGGTTTCATATAAGATGTACTCATTCTCTGAACATTGTATCTCTGAGATGTTTTAACAGCTTCCTAGATATACTATAATTTGTGACCAACTACTTTTGCTTGTTTTTTGGATTTTAGCATTTTTCATTTCTTTTAATGACACTATGGTGATATTTTTGTAACTATTTTTCTGCCTACTCATAGTTTTTTATATAAATTCTTACAAGTGAAATTAATGGACCAATATGATGATGTAAATTTTGAATTTTCTGTTCTATACCACACTGCTTTGAGCATGACAGTTAGACCACTCTTGTCAGGTCACTTTGCAGTATTTACAGGTAGCCAGAACATTTTGCATTAAACTACTTTCTTCTTTACTGCTCTGACATCTCTTAGGGAAGCAAGGACTCAGCTTGAACACTAGAGTCCTTCTGGCTTCCATAACTGAGTGATCTTAGAGACTGAAATTGGTTGGTAAACCTCTACTAATGGAAAGGAATACAATTAGGATACATTTGTAATAGCTGATGGGATACAGCTAAGTGAAAGCCACCTACAGGATTGCATGTGAGAATATAAAAACAAAGGTGCTTGCTGAGAACTGCTTCATTTGTGTGTATAGTCTTTCAAGCCACTGTGCTTCTCTGATAGCACAGAGAAGGAAGGTATTTGAGGAACATATTAGGGTTAAGCAGAACAGTTTTGCAGGAAAGAATGTTCTGAAAAACACGTAATTTACTTCCAGTGTGCTGTTTAGTCCTCCATTTTTTAGAAGCATTGAGTTTTACATGAAGTTCAAATAAATTATATATATATATATATATATATATATATATATATACATACACATTTATATATGTAGTGCTGTTGCATTTGTTTCGAGCATATTTGATTTATAGATGACTACATGACATAGAAGTGAATTCTTTTTTTCACTGTTCTCTGGACACAAGAATCGTTTCTCATTGCTATTTTAAACAAATATAATGTCTTTTAAAACAGGAGTTCTAATTCATGTATCATATTATTCATTTATTTAAAGTTACAGTTGTGTGGATTTTAGTTTGTTCACAGAGTAGTCATCAGCAGTAATGTCAATTTTATAACATTTTCACACATCCCAACACAAACCCCACACGAGTTAGCAACACTCCTCCCTGAGGCCTCAGTTTACTTATTGTAGACAGTTCTTATTAAATGTAACCATGCACCACATGTTCCTTTGAGACTAGCTTCTGTGGTAGCGTATATTGGTACTTCATGCCTTTTTATTGCCAAATATTCCACAGTATGCATGTAGTATATGTGTTTATCATTCCTCAGTTGGCGTACTTTTGGAGTTTTGGCTGCAAGGCACAGGCTTTTGTGTGGATGCATATTCATCTTATACCTTTTTTTTTTTTAGTGCCTTTCTCGAGAAGCAGGTGGAAATATGAGTATTCAGTTTCTTGGTACAGTGGTAAGTATGAAAGAATAATTACTTTGTATATCCTCTTAATTGGCAGAGAAAAGAAATGTTCAACTAGTAAAAAGCCGTGTGTTCCATATTGCATTTGAAAACAGAGAGCTTAATTTTTTGTATTTTTTTTTCTAGCTTTCTGTATTAGGTCTAATGAAATTAAATCATCTTATGTCTTAATTTTTTCCTATATCCTATTATTTTATATATTGCTATAAAATACATATAAATATATTATTAATAGATCTGTAATTAAATTCTAATAGGTAGATATGACAGTTATTCTTGTCTCCTGTTAGGTATTGAAGTTATTTCTACTTTTTTGCAATTGCTAGTGATATTCCAGTGAACAATTTCATGTGTTTTACTTTTTTGATGTTTTGAATTTATTTTCAAATATGTATAAAATTTTTAAAAATATATTTCCTCCTGAACAGACTCAAAGTACGAAGTTGTTTCATATCTATTTAGCACACTGTAGATCGTATATTAGGATTGTTTATATCTCACTAGTATTAGTTATAATTTTCTAAATAACTAGCTTTGTCTGCTGAAAAGAGATTTACATGATGTTATTATATTGTTAGTTTTCAAAATAATTTATGTAAAAAGCACATTATAGTTTTAAATTTTGTCTATTGCTATCTATTGTTTTGAGTATTTCTCCATGTATTCATATATTAAGGGTTATTTATAATATGTGAAAGGTCTCTTCAAACTGGATTCATTTTGAGTATTTTTGATAGTTTATTGAGACTATCAAAGAGGCCTGTATGTATAGGCAGGCCTTTGACCATTGTAATCTAAACTTTAGGTACTGAATTTATGCCTTATGATTATTTTTATTTTTCTGATTAATAAAGTAGTACATGCTCATTGTAAACAAAAGTTCCAAGACAATCTTCTGACTCAATTCCTCCTTGTTCTCTCCATTGGTCAGCTTTTTGTTGTTGTTGTTAATATCTTCAACTGGTTGGATAAGGCCCGCCTACATTGTGGAGTATGAGCTGCCTCACTCACAGCCCACTTGTTTAAATGTTAACTTCTTCTTTAAAGTAACTTTATAGGAACCGCTACAATAATGTGTGACCAAATATCTGGATTCTGTGGCTTCTCAAAGTTGACATATAAAATTAACTGTCACCACAGTACATATCCCATCCTCTAGAAATACTTGAGTCTTCAACAATGCCTGTATCCTTACAGACATAAAACTATACATAGACCTAAACATCTTTTGTATCAGGACATGAAAGTCTGTGTTTTTTTTGTTTTTTTTTAACATGGCTATTCAGAATTCCATGATGTAGGTGGATATAAGTGTTTTTTTTTTTTACTGTCAGGATCATGCTAGGAAGGACACTTTTGTTGTCTGTGCTGTTGGGCACTTGCCTGGGATTCTGATAGATTTCTCAAATTTCCTTATGGAAAACTGACTTTGGTATCTACCATAAACAAAATGTTTCTCCTACAGTTTTTCCTAACTCCGTAAGTAACAACTTAAGCTAAAACTTCCACATTATCCTTGATTTTAAAAATTAGAATACATTTTTTGGCAGTGCTAGAATCAAGCTTAGGGCGTTACGTTTGTTAAGCAAGTGCTGTATCAGAGCTACTCCCTCTATTCCTTTCTTTTTCATCTGTTCCCATTGCCCCACTCCCAGCTGACACCTTTTCTCTCTTGTCTGAATCCTCCAGGAGCTAAAGCCTTTCACTGGCATCACTGCTTCCTAGTGCATTGTTAAAGTGGCAGGGAGAAGGTCCTTTATAAATGTTAGTAGCTCAGATGTGTCAGGCATTTGCCTCAGGGTCTCTGTGCTTGCCTTTCTTCTGTGAGGAACATTTGCCCAAATATCTCCACTGTCTTCAAGCCCTTACTGACTACCCCCCTGTTGGGGCTGCTGCTCGACTCACCAGTGATGAGCTAGGTCATCCCTGCCAGCCCATTGTTCATATCCTTCCCTATTTTTTATTTAGCAATTACCATTACTTGACATATGATGCATTTTACTTTTTGATGTATTTATCATCTCTCTTCCTCACTCGGATTTAATAAACTCTGTGAACCAAGGCTTTTTGTCCTTTTTGTACAGTACTCTGAACAGGGCCAAGTACATAGTAAATACTGATTCTACCTAGACCAAGGGGCTTTCTGTGTCAATGTAGGACAGGGAATTAGCCTTAAACAAGAAAAGTGAAGAAACAAATATAGAAACGAGTGGATTAAAAGTAAATGTAAGTTGTTGGGACATTAGAAGTGTACTGACATGACTTATTCTAGGGTTCACATTCCTTAGCTGGATAGAGTAAAGAAGGGTACATATTTTTCTGTGTTTAGTCTGATGCCCCTTAATTTTATTCCCTTCTGTTGACCTCAGGCACCCAAGCATACTGGTAAAAATATACACACACGCACACACACACACACACACACACACCCTCTGCTCAACTGAACAGTTATGTGAAGCCAGGCCTGGTGTGATATGCTTGTAACCCAGAAATAGGAACCTGAGGCAGGAGGCTCCTGAGTTCAAGGCAAGCCTGAACTACACAGTGAGATCCTATCTCAAACAAAAAGTTACCAGAAAAAAAGGAAGCGAATTTTATGCATCTGCTATTATCTGCTGGTCCTGCTAAATGAGAGATTGCTTGCTCATGATTCCTGAAGACAAAATGACCAATTTCTAACACAACCTCCAGATTAATTTCTAATTACTGTGAAATTCTACAACACAAGGCTTTGGATGATCCATATATTTGATTTTTCTATATTATCAACAATAATGGATTATTGCAGAAGATGGGAAGTTGTTGGAAGATAGTTGGACTATTACAGTGAGTACAGATCCATTCTAGCTTGCCAGTGCTACTTCACTGGAAGATTCTAAAGTCAGATATACTTTCCAGGACACAAGCCAGGGCTGACAGCAGCAAGTCACATGTCACATGCATTTGTCTTTGTGAGAATTCTTACAGAATTATCTCCTCACAATGGTGTTCTTTTGAATATTAATAAACTTAACCTTCAATGTTCAAAGAAGAATTTAATTTCAGACTAAGAGAAATACTTTTTTATCATCAAAATTCAAAAAATAATGTTTATGTTTCAACTTAGAAAAAGTACAGATTCAAAAATAATTATTTCACTGGGCGTGGTGTTGTACAACTGTGATCTCAGCTATGTAGGAGGTTATGTCAGAAAGATCTCAGTTTCCAGCTCAGCTCCATGAGACCATGTCTCAAAATAAAATATAACAAGGACTAGACTGGGGGTATACTGTCGTGCTCCCTGGCACACACACACATATCCAAATACGCAGACATACCAATTATTGTTTATTTACTCTGAATTTTAAAAAATGTCAGTTTGGATTTTTTAGTGGTTTTTATTTTTAAAATTTATTTAAGTACATGTTTGCAGTATACAGTGATTAGAATTATCATGGAGTGTTGATACATGTACATAACACATCTTAACTCTTTTTTGTTTTTCATCCCCTTTCTTTGCCTTCCCTCCTCCCTTCATCCATGTGGAAAAGATCCTCCTATTTCCCCTTTATCTTCTGTTTTCTCTTTATTTCCAGTAAATGTCATTACTTTAAAAAGAGGGTAAAATTAAACAGAATAAAACAGAACAAAGTAGATCATAAGATAACAATGTAAGAGACACAGATTTCAAAGCAAGACAACCGGAGATCTTCACTGTCTATCATATTGTCTCTTGTTTTCTTCCAAATAGCTGTCCATATCTTCACAGACAATGAATTCATACAAAACAAAATAGTATAGAACTGATCAGAACAGGATGATGAAGGCATTTTAGGTCTCCAAGAACAGACAATAAGGAAGTCAACAATGGCTTCCATAATGTCTCTCATTCTCTTCAAAATAGCTATCCATACATTCATGTATGTTGAAACTACAAAACAAAACAGACTAAAATCATTCTGAACAAAAAACAATAGTATTTCTGGATTTCACATCATGACGCTATGGAATCAGCACTGGGTACCTTAGTGTCTCTTTTTCTTCAAAGTAGCTGTTCATTTCATCATGCATTATATTACTGATTCTCATAAACTTTTTTGAAGTTCTACACATGCATGAGTCTCTACATACATATCCTTTCTGTATTAGAGGGAAAAACAAAACCATCTAAGACAAAACAAAACAAATTCTTAGAAAAACACGAAACGAAAAAGACATGTAGACAACAATAGCAAAGAGCCCAGAATACTGACAATACGGGCCTTTAAAACAAGGTGGTAGGAGCATAACTAGGTATTGTTATTTTACATAATAATCTTCAAGAGTTCCTCAGAACACTATACAATAATATGTACAGTTGTTCCAAACCTATGAATGTTAACTATTTTGTTCCAAGAACTTATAGTTCGTAGTGCAATCATCTTAGCTATCCTGTGTGTTTGTATAATTTTAGACATTTTCTCTTTTCCCTTCATTTTTCTTTTTCCTCATTTTCCCTGAGATATTATTTTTCCCCATTAAGCAGATTCTTATCTTTTCACTGTAATCATGGAGTTTTTTGTATCTTATGTACTCTTACCATTTCTTATACTAGGGAGACTATACAGTATTTACACAGTAGGGAGACTATACAGTATTTACACATGTGAGTTTTATTTTACTTATGAATATGGTCTTGAGTTGCATACATAACTTATAAAATATCTCAATGTGATCATTATACTCTTTATAGCAATGTGATCATTATATTCTTTATCTCAATGTGATCATTATACTCTTTATAAGCAATGTGATCATTATATTCTTTATAGAGTAGCACTCCATTGTATAAAAATACCACATCTTTTTTATCCATTCCTCAGTTGATGGGCATTTAGGTTGTTCCAAGATCTGGTTATTACAAATTGTGTTGCTATAAACATGGGTGCACATATATCACTGTGGTATGATGTTTTCAGTTCTTCTGGGAATATGCCCAGAAGTGGGATAGATGGGTCAAATGGGACTTCCAA